ATTTCAATAAAACCAGTGTTTCAATCATCCCCTCACAAACCAATAACTTTATTGAATCTTTTCAATAAGGCGGTCTCTGGGAAAATCGCGCTCCACGCGAGACATCCTTAAAATCGCTGATTTAGAAGTCTGAATCGAAGTCAAGCGTGGGAAACATGTCAACGGGGTCATGCATGCGCATCCTGCGGCGTGCTCCATGCGAAGAGTCAACCTCCTGATCAATGACTGCTCCAAGCCGAGCAATCTGTTCCATCAACCTCGAGGGCATGTTGCGCGGAGGCAATTTGGAAAGATCGCATTTCAAGTGGGAATGAAAACCAGCCAAGATTTGTCCTGATCTCCCTCGCAAGAAGTTCTCGAATCTGCATAACATCATTGACTGGAAGTGATCCACCTGGCCCAGCCAAGGGATAGATCGAAGCCACATCCTTATGCCCATAGGCAAAGCGAACCTGGTCGATGACATCATCCTCCGCAACATCCTTGATCTCGCCCAACATCCGGATAAAGATGAGGAGCACTAACATAGTGTGTCCAGTCTTCAAGCTTCGGGCATAGTTGCTCAAAAGCATTCGGGTTGTTCTTCTGACAGGTCAACATATGAAAGAGTTCTGATGTATCCTTGAACAACATACAAGCATGTCTCACGGCAAAAGTCGAAGATGGGGTTGCTAAGGAGCCCCTCTGTGAGGGTCTTCCACGTGTCACGCCAGTCACGCAAAAATGTTGTTTTGGGTGCGCCAACCAGTGGGTCATGAATGCCTTCTGCCAATCCATTGCAGAATAACCTCAGCCAGGGAAGATCGAGCGCTTCCATCTTAGCAACTTCAACATTGACCATGCACTCATAGATCAGATTGGTGTCGCTGACAACGCTTGTGCGCTGATTCGATCCTTCGCCCTCCATTGCCGTTGCGCACCAAGCACACAAGAACCTATTAGACTTTGAGATGAATCTGAAACATATCTATCAAGCAAGGAGGTCTCGATCTTTGCAAATCCCCAGCTGCTATCGACCATGTTGCATAGTCCATCTACAGCTTCGTAATAGCAATTCAGCAATTGGGGTCTGAAAGCGTCAGGTCATTGCGCCTCTTTACAAAGACAACAATTTGGAGGAGGATCAGCGGGAAACCCCAGACTGAAGCTAATATCCTACCCAGCGCGGAATCTCGATGAAGTCGACGCTAATCTTGCCTGCGCCTGTATATCATGATATTTGAGGTAGGCGCAGAGTTGTTTCATGGCAGCGCTCGTGTTCATGAGGCCCATAGTAGGAAGTGGCAGCTTGGTCAAAGCCTTGTCAATCTTCAACTTGGGGCCATGGTCCTTCACACTGCGAATGAAATTGGTGACTGCAGTGCGCCCCTTACTGGTAAATGCGCGGTATCCCATGTCCGAGTCGGTCGATGTAGATGCCGCCATGAGGACCTGGTTCAGGCAAAGCTGCTGCTTGCGCACTACAAAGATCGGGGGAGGCGCGAAGCTCAGAAGATCCCGGCTACACCAAAGTCGAGAGCGCAGGTGAGGAGGGGGCCTGTGTTTGGGAGGCCGGGGGCCTTTAGGCAGCTGCATCCTTGGTTGCGCAAAAGCTTCGCCCACCAATTAGTTTCAGGCTTACCTGGGTTGTGACTTGCTGGTCCGCTGACAGGGACTTCCGCTGACCCTGGCAGTCAGGAGTTGCCATCGTAACGCCTAGCACAATTATAGCCTTGGTGGCGACTTGCCTGTTCCAAGAGGAACTTGCGTGAGGAGCTGCCATTGTGATGCCAAGAAAATTTGGTTCGTGAGCGCGAGCACATTTTCCTCGAACTTCGCTTAGCAGATCTCGAAGGGTGAGTGCGAAATCTCACATACTCAAGCCCTGTTATTTGGTTCGGGCGCTTAGGAACTTGGGCCTGGTTGCTGCTGTGTGCAAATCAAGGGCCGCAGCAGGTACAAAGATTTCTTCTTGGGTACGCGATGGCACTCTTCCATGCGCACGCTAACATGACCAATGGAATCAACATCTGTCAAGTCCATATGCCATGATGACGCACTGTCACAGTGTCACCTCAGACAATTCAGTGTTGCAAGGCTTCAGCTCAGAAAGAGGTTCGCTGGCAGGAACTGAAATTCATCCTGACGGCACACTCATATTGAGCATCTCAGGACACCCGTACCTCAACATGATGTGTTCGTCACGCATGTCACATGCAACCATGCGAATGATTTGATCGACTCCGGTGTAGCAAGACCTACGAATCTTCCATCCATGTGCATGTACATGACTGTTGCACTCAGCAGTGAGAAAAGCTTGCGCTCTAATGTTCGTGGAACGCAGCAATATCTTCTCACGCAGAAATCTTCCATCAGGCTTAGCACTACCGAAGGCGCATGAGAGACAACTTAACTCGAACTTGTGTTTGAACCCCGCCCGCCCTAACATCCTCCAGGATACTAAGATCCTAGTAGATCTAGGGCATGTGGGCGTCGTTGTCCCCAAGCTTCAATCGCGCGGAGAATCACAAAATAGTTTCCGCGATGTCCAATCTGAGGTCATTGCCTGATGCTGAGTGAAATGACCACCAAGGCTTTCATTGTGACACTCACACCCAAAAACACCCATGAATCGGACCCTGATTGAACACCTTTGAGTAATCCACCTCGTGATCACTCAGTGTCATCTTTGCGTCTTTATCCAAATCGAAGGAATAGAGACAATGTTGACCTCACGGTTCTGAGAAACATCGTACACAAAGGACCATGCAAAGTTCCTACCACCTAACAGCTAACACACACATGTTGGGTCCGGAATGGTCCATCTCAGTCAATGCAATCCTGAAGCCTGCGCTAACGCCACCGGAAACAATGTCAACCCAATTCTCAGCATCAACGCATCTTCCAGGAATGATACACTCGCCAAGAGAAACATGCTGATGATTGGGAAACTCTAGATGGACATCACCATAGAAGTCACGTTGAGACTCAGGATCAAGATTACTCCAAGGAGCCTCATATGCATCAATGGCTTGATGGGGTCATCAAGATGGCATTCGAATATGACACTGTCCCACAAAAAGGCTTCCATCATGCCAAACAAAGATTGTGAGTCTCGAAAACTACCCCCCGGCCCCGCCCCCCCTCCACCGCGACATACTGTGAAGTGTCAACATGGTCAACAACAGTCGGGGAAAGAGCATATCAATCGAAAGAGCCAGCATTGTGGCTTGCCCGATCCACCCGGAGCATAAAGTTCCGGTGGTGGGAGTATCGGGGTTTGAATATGAGTAAAGTTAGGTACACCTGAATCAGACAGTCGGGAGCTTCTGACATGAAAGGTCATTTGCGGTCTCGATAATTCAAGCGCCTGAGGTGACCTTAGAAGCTCAAGAGTCACAAGAGTCACAACGTGTAAAGCTGTGACAGATTTCCATTTTCTTCCATCGTCGTACCCTCTTGCGCAGATGTCAGCTGCCGTTTCGCTCATTATCTCATAAACCAAAATATGATCAGCCTGGAATACCTCATGTAACCAAGCAACCACGGAGGGCATCAAGTCTAGCGCTTGACTCAGCCTTTCTACCAAGTCAGCTCGGGTAACCTGGGAATTGGAAACGGCACCCTTCAAGCTGGCGAACGCAGACTCTTCCTGCGCAAGCTTTTCCTTCAGAACACAGCACTTCCACCTCTGCATCGATCAGTTGACGGCCATTGGCTTGATTTCTTTGCCTCAACTCAACGATCAATGCCTCCCTGTCTCTCATGTCTGACATGTACTGCGTGTTCAAATACTGTGCTTGCAGTTCGAATATTGCTCTCTGGCGGTCTAACTGCTCAATCCTTTCGGTTGCTCCTCTGCATTGCTGCTCCTCAACCTCGAGGTGCACCCTAACACCTGCAGTGTCGGTGAATGCCTGGTTCTGGAGCTCGAAGTACGCTTACCTTTCAGCTTGTTCAAGATTCAGTTTGCCTGTGTCCTCAATTGGCGTTTTCGCCGGTGGACAAACCAAGCCAGCGCTTCCAATAGTTCTTGGGCACGCTGAACAGTCTCAGGACTCGACTTGGCCTTCTGTATGACCGATGTCCTGCATCTCGGAGAGGCACTTTCAGTCCTTGGGGACGAAGAGACCTCCCTGATAGCACCACGCACGAGAGGAGACGTTGGTCGCCTAGAAGAATAGAAGAAGAGGGTGATCCTCTCTCCCTCGGGGTGGGAGTCCCAAACCCCTCGCGGTCATTCTTTATGCATAATGCGCTGGCCGATGCCGCTAGCACCTCCTCTGCAGTATCACTCAAAGATTACCCAAAGGTGTCTGTTTGATTGGTGCCAAACGAACCTGAACTGCCATCCACAGATAACATCGTGGTAAGAGTCAACAGCGCGACGGCTGCTAACCTGTCGAAGGTCAAAGGGTGACTGGCCAGTACTGTAACAACTTCACAGCAAACAAAGCTTCCTCGCGATCTCAATTGCTTTCCTTCCGTCGCTCGTCAAAGCTCAAGCTCGGTACCAGGGGTTGCACAATCCAAATGGCTTAGCTACGATAATTCCCACTGCCGACATAGCTAAAAAGGGGAGGCTTGAGCCAAATTACATTGGCACAACCCAAGTTGGAAACGCAATCACTACAAAGCAAACGAGTGGTTTAAGGGTGAGGTTCGCAAGCTTTCAGGTGCTCGGCCTGCGCAAAAACCCATGTTCAATGCAAAACTTGATGATTTTCTTGTGTGCTTTGAACGCTGCTGGCCCCAATTAAGCAAAATACAATCCAATTGTGCGGATGACCCCTTCGCGAGCGTCATGAAAACACTTGGGGTCCCAGTTTGGGCAGAAATGGGGTAAGATCTTGAACTTTCTAAAAACTATGCAATGTAACGAGAACGTGACATTTGCAGAGACTTCTCATGATTTGGAGCATCCTCAGGACAATCACCGCTCCGTTTTGGGTTTTGGAGGGGGGAAGCCACGCCGGCCTGTGTCGCCAGGCCCGAAATACACTCTACCTACATCCACGCACGTTTAATTAACTCTGTTGTTGACTGCCCCCTGTAACATCCCTAATCTCGAATCCCACACCCTGCATCCCGACTCCAACCTTAACGGATATAAGGTTTTTGAATTTGAGCAAGCCCCGCGTAGGGATCACGGCCAGCCATTTCGGCGAAGATGCGGTGCATCCAGTGGTATTCCGATCCAAGTCGCCACTGCTCACTAGGGTTACCTTACACCAAGTGCATGGCTCAGGCATTACACAGGGATCCTGTGGGCAAATATTGCGAACAATAATGCTTCTTCCAAAGTTTGAGCTTGGGGGTGCTGCTTAGGAAAGGGGACAGACAGTCCCCAACACCTAAACCCTGGGTCAAATTACGGCTTACAGTCTAGCAAGTGATTTGGGAGCTTCCCAACGTGGTCCATACATGGGTTTGACGGTATGGGCTTCCCTTACATGTGCGCAACAGGGATTTCATGTTTCTCTGGGATGCTCGGCAGGAAGTGCACCCCAAGTCCAGTGCACGGTGGCCCAATATCACTGCATTATTGTCGGTTAGATACGAGGGAAAGTTCTGCCTATGAATACTGTTTGGCCCAAGCTTCGCTTTGCTCAAGTTTTGTGCTGAACTCGGTTTTGCCACGATGGCGTTTCCCCTCCATGGGGGTTTGATTGATGGTCATCCATATGGCGTTCAGGTGGCTGGCCTGGAGCGGGTTTTACGGTGTCGGGGCTACCTGGAACAGTACCTGCAAAAATCATACCCCACACTCCATGCCTAACTTGCAAGACACTTTCCCCCAAATATGTATGGGAACCCGTCAGCCCAGCCTGAGCCCAAATATCCACCTAACCCATATCCCCGTTATACACCAAATCAGAAAACCTATATCCCAGTACTTCCCCGTAAACCTAAATCCCCTAACGACAACACGCCTACTGGGGCAAGGTGTCTCTAATGAAAATTCATCTTACACATACATGTGCCCTTTTCGTTGTTTTGGGTAAAGTTTTCGTGGTTTGGGGCAAGGTGCCTTTAATGCTATGCTGTATAACTGTATAACATAATAGTAGACTACTTTCCAGTTCAAGATATGGGAGTATTCATCCATTTGTGTAATTCAAAACACTGTTTCGGGATGTCCGAAATGACATAGGGGTATGCAAACAACGCACTGGTTCTAATGACTCCTTCTATTTTTGAAGGTGACATCGTCAATCAATCTTATTAGGAGAATGTAGGATTTCCTGCCTCGGAATTTATCTCCATATATTTTGAGTTGCATCGTGAGCCTTCATTAGAAATTTGTGTGGAACATGGAGGGGGAGCTAGCTGGATCTGGAGGGGTAACCCCAAGACAGTTGTCCTGCACTAGCCTCCAAGAGACCTCTAAAATGAAGTCCTCACCTAAACAAGCAAAATGCGCGGTGTGCCAGGGCCGTTTTGGGCCCCCAAACAGAGATTTGAGTCCTGATTTGAGGCAGGAAAATGGCCCTGGCACAGTGTGCTCGGGCCGTTTTGGGTTCGCAGACCTCTGGAATTGAGCCCTTACCTGAAGCAACAACATGGACCTGGCACAGTATGCTAAAACCGTTTTGGGACACCAGACCTCTAGATTTGAGTCCTTGCCTAAAGCAGCAAACTGGCCTTAGCACAGTGTGTTAGGGTCGTTTTGACCCCAGACTCTAGAATTGAGTCCTTACCTACAGCAGCAAACGGCCATAGCACAATCTGCTCGGGCCGTGTTGGGCCCCCAGACCTCTGAATTTGAGTCCTCACCTGACGAAACAATCGGCCACAGCACAACGTGCTAAGGCCGCTTTGGACCCCATACCTCTAGAATTGAGTTCCTACCTGAAGTAGCAAAACGGCCCAGGCAAAGTTTGCTAGGGCCGTTTTGGGCCCGCAAACTTCTAGAATCGAGTCCTTACCTATACCAGCAAGGTGCCCTAGCACCGAGTGTTAGGGCCGTTTTGGGTCCCCAGACCTCGAGATTTGAGTCCTTACCTAAAGCAGCAAAATGGCCCTAGCACAGTGTGCTAGGGCCGTTTCGGGCCCCAGACTTCTGGGTTGAGTCTTTATCTAGGGCAGTAAAATGGCCCTAGCTAGGGCCGTTATGGCCCCCAGACATTTGTTTTTACCTGAAGCAGCAGGATGGCCCTAGCACGGTGCGCTAGGGGCGTTTTGAGTCCCCAAAATTGTAGAATCGATCCCTTACCTAAAGCAACAAAATAGCCCTAGTGCATTGGTCTCGGGTCGTTTTGGTCCGCCAGACCTCTGGATTTGCGTCCTTACGTGAACCAGCAAATTGGCCCTAGCACTGTGTGCTAGGGCTGTTTTGGGCCCCCAAAAGATTTAGCAGCAAAGTAGCCTAGCACAATGTGCCAGGGCCGCTTTTTGGCCCGCAATCTTTTAAATTATTCCAGACCTTACCTGAAGAAGCCAAATGGCCCTAGCCCACATGGTTCTAGCCCACGTATGCTAGGGTCGTTTTGGGTCCCCAGACCTCTGGAATTGAATCCTTACGTAAAGCAGCAAAGCAGCAAAATGGCGCTAGCACGCGTGTTAGAGCCATTTTGGGCCCCCAGACCTCTAGATTTTTCAGTCCTTACCCAAAAAAATACGCTAGGGCCGTTGCAGGCCCCCAGACCTCAAGATTTGAGTGCGTACCTAAAGCAGCAGAAAGGCCCTAGCACACTGTGCCAAGGCCGTTTTGGGGCCCCTTTGGCCAGGTGAACCCTAGACGGCACCCGCACGCCCCAGGTTGATCGTGGCTACGACGGAAGCGGGCTTGTGTGGGTTGGGGTTTTACCTGAATCAATGCAAAAGTGTTGTAGAAAACATGTCTGTGCATTTTGGTGACGTCATCTGCGTCGTTAAATGTCTTAAGCTGGACACTGACGTCGTTGACGTTGCTATAATTGGTCCACATTGATTATGCTCAAGCCCACATACTGATTATGCCCAAGCCGGCACATTGTATGCCCAAATCCGCATATTATATATATATATATATGACCGAACCTGCGTGCAACAATTCGCGTTGATTTGCCAACCCACGTGCGTGACGGGAGTAGATGCCTAAAATGTTTGTAGCGCGGGAAAATTATGGAATGTCAATTTGAAGAATCCAGAAAGGCTGTTGAACAACAGCCGAAAGTACAGCGCCAGCACTGCTTAAGAAAGCATTGGTAAAGAAATTGAGAGCTCTGGATTTTGGAAACTATGTACTTTGGGTTGAAAAACAAAACACGCTCTAGCTAAGAAATTGAGAGGCCTCTGGTTTCCGGGCTCAATTTCTTAATTTGGCTGTTCCTGCCGGCTCTCAGTCCTGGGGCTCTGGAGCTCTCAATTATGGCTTTTATGGTCATCTATTATGAGGAGTGAAAGCTTTTCGTAGTTGGCCAAAGGTCGGCGCGGAAATGACCCCGGCGGGACTCGAACCCGGGCATGCGCCTTAACCATTAGGCCATGGCATCCTCTCAAGATTGGTTGGGAGTCAGAAATTCTCGCTGGGCATGGGGGGCTCATCTCAGGTTCGGGGCTCTCAATTTCTTGATTTGGGGCTTTGGCTCTCGTGCTTTGGGTCCTCAATAGTAATATTTCTTCTGAGGAATTAGGAGACCTGTGGTATTTCTTATTCAGAATTAGAAAACCTTGATAGCCTCCATCAGATTCAGAAACTGAACAGGAATATACCACAGATCCTCTAATTCTTTAAAACAAATACCACAGGTCCTTTAATTCCTAATAAGAAATACCAAGTCTTCTATTTCAGTCCCCGACCGAAGCATAACATTGAGATTCCCAGAGCCCGAACTACGAAATTGAAAGCCTCCACCCCCGATTTAAGAAATTCATAGTTCTGGAGCTGAAAGTCAAAGACAATTATGGAAGATTATGAGGAGGTGGTCTAGTGGTATCAGCTGTGGCCATGGATAGCAAGGTATGACCCTTAGTGGCTCGAATCCCACTTAAGAAAGAGTCAAGAAATTGAGAGACCTCTCGTCAGAGGTAACATGGAAAATGGAATCATGGAAATTAAGAAATTGAGAGGCCTCTGGCTTGGGCAGGAGAATTTCTTAACCAGCGTTTGCACTGCATTGCTGAATAGCTAGACTTTCAGCAATTCGTGGAGCAAATACCCGCACCAAGATCAATGACAATGTTTCGTCCAAGAAGTTTTTTAATATCGTCAACGGTATAGGAATGTTCACTCCACGAGCTTACTCTTTCTTTATCTAGTTCTTCCATTTGTCTCGCTTCTTGAGGCAATAATCCACTTTCGGAATGAACCGTGTTGTTCTGAACAGTTTGATGTTACAGCCACAAGCACCAACATGTCCCTACGCACACACAAGTGTCTGACACATGGTTTTGGCAAGGAACCGCATAGCAAACTCAAGTAAGGAAGTTGAAAAGGGGGAGTATGCGTAGACGCCAAGCCTGCAGTGATCCACCAACAATAGGGACACACAACACCACAAACATCAACAGAACACAACACCAGAATCTTGGCACACATACGGTGAGACAATGAGCAGCGGATCAGGGCGGGTGGGCAAAGAACCACATATACATGCCCACGTGGATTTCATCTTTGAGCCGCTTGTGGCTGTTCACAACAATATTCAAAGCAGTGCAAGTGTTGTATACTTGAGCACGTACTGCAACCCGAGGCTACCTTGAAGCCGCTTCACACCACAGACATGCCCGCTGTGACTAAAAAAGGTGAGGAGTGCAGGTCTGTAATGTCGGACCCGGTTTAGTATAGGGAACGGCAATAATGAAATTCTTCGGGGAAATTATGCAGGATCTGCTATTGTTTGAGGGGTCCGGAATAATGAAATCTTCCGCTACAAAAAAAAAGCTGATTTTCTACCTCGGTTAGGTCTACTTTCAAGGCCTTAAAGGATTTTAATCCTAGAGTCCTAGAACTCTAGCATCACAGCTTTTACATATAAGGCCTAATATTCGAGAATCCAAAAATTTTTCATCTCAGAGACCCCAGCTCCATATAAACCGCTTTTTCGGGATTATTAGAAATCGTAGGGTCAATCAATTTTTGTGAGGGGTAGTCCAGCAGAGGCCCGGATCCTCAATAAGGAATTGTTTTAGGGGTCCGGAATAATAATCCGCTCCGCCAGCCGCGTAGATTTTGCAATTTAAAAAAAATGTTGGATTCTAAAAGGCCCAAAGCTTCTGGCTATAGAGCCAGATAATTGTATAGCTATGTATCCGTGGAATCCGTGAAAGCCGCGAAATCCGTAAACTCCGCGAAGCCAGCTCCACATAAACCGCTTTTCTCGGGATTGTTACAAATCATAGGGTCAATCAATTTTTGTGAGGGGTAGTCCAACAGAGGCCCGGATCCTCAATAAGGAATTGTTTTAGGGGTCCGGAATAGTAATTCATTCTGCCAGCCATCCATATTTTCAGTTTTTTAAAGGATGCATTTCAATTTTTAAATAAATGAATCGTAATAGGATTGCTTTCGAGTTGTTCGAAGTTGATTTTACTTGACCCTTATTTGATCTTAAATAGGTTTCAAGTTGAATTTGATTAGGTTTTAATTAAACTGTTAGACTTCAATTGATTTCAATTAGGTTTTAATCAGTTGCAATTGGTTTTCTAATTAGATTGTATTTGCACCGAATTTGATTTACATTTGTCATTGTTTTGAACAGCTTTCCCATTGGTTTAATGTGGTTTGAATAGGTTTCAATGCTAATGGAAGTGCCGGGCCGGTGCTTACACTAATACGAAATCAAATACCAGCTTCAAGGCTACTACCGAGATTCCAGGTTTTTATCGGTTTAATTGCGCGGCAAATTTGGGGGGTGGCCGCGTATTAAAGAGGAATACCAATTGTTCACCGGGGGGGGGGGCCCTGTATTAAACAGGGTCCAACATTAGGAGGGCGGGGTGACCATTGTCATAAGGCTTCTGTCCAACCCTTTGAAAGGTTTTCCCCTTTGCTTTGCCTCCTTTGAGGGAGGGATACCTTCAACGGCGTGACTGTCATGGGTTACGCCATCCGCTGCAAAAAGTGCGACCTCACTTGTTCCCACAGTTTGCATGTGCCGGGTTTTGGTAAGCATGGTGATACGGCAGAACTTGCCGGTTGAATATAATGGAGAGTTCTGCCTTTGAATGCTGCTTGTCGCAAGCTCACTTTCCCCAAGTCTTGTGTTGCCCGTCCGCCCTCCCCGGGGTGACTAGTGTCATCTGGCTACCGTCTGCCTCTTTAAAGGCTTTTCCTCCTTTGCGAGAGGGAGGCCCTCAACGTGTGACTGGGCACTCATCCCAAAGCTTAAGCCTAAGCTCAAACCCTAACCTCTCCACCCTCAGCCCAACACCACGGATCCTAAATGCAAAAGGCTCTTCTCCGAACCCTCGAAACCTGGAAGCCAAGATGCTGATAACTTTTACCATCTCGGACATCATGTGCGACCTCACGGTTTACGTCATGGTTCCTAGGTTCTAGAATCTATGGTTCAGGGTGGATCTTAGGGGCTAGGGTTTGGAGGCCGCGAAGTCAAAATGAAGATTTCGGAGTTTGTCTCCAAGTAGGGGTCGGGGAACTGCTGCAGTCCCCACTCCATGGGAGACAAGTTTGAGGCTAGGGGTTGGGGGGCTCGAAGTCCTGAATATGCTCCCTATGACCACCGTACTCATGCCCCTTCTCGAGCCTGTGTAGCATGATTTCCAAAATCCTCTTCTTCCCCTAGAAGTTCGGAGTGTAAGCGCATGAATACTGGCTAGTATTTGGAGCTGGCATCGCCTCTGACATGCAAAGCCTGAATGGTAGAAGTTGCGTCGAAGAATATTAGGGTTTGGGGTTTAGGGCCGGTATGTTTGTCCATAGACAGGAGACAAGAGGGAACCAAAAACCACCACGTATCCACAAACCACAAAACTCTGAAGCCGAGCCTTTAAGCCCTGGCCTGCCGTAGTGCTCACGCAATCTTGAGCCCGAAACCTGAACTCCTAGAACGCAAACCTTAGTCTTAGTCTTAGTCCCTGTACTTTACCCTCTGACCCCTAAAGCCTAAATCTTTATAGACCCCAAACTCTGAACATTGACATCCGAAACTTGAACCATCGGCCTTAGGCCTATACACACTACACCTTAATCTCTGCACCCAGAACGCTAAACCTGCAAGCTTAGACCATAATCTTGAAGCTCAACACCCGAGGCTTTGAACCTTAAACCCAAACTGCTGAATCAGCTCGTGCGACTGCGGCGGAGCTGCCAGGAACCAGTTAGAAACCATGGGATAAAGGCCAGCCTCCCAGGGGCTTCACATTTTACTTACCGGTGCTTACGAGGGAACGCGAGAATGGAAAAGAACGTGGAAGCTGCTGAAGGGCTTAGGATTACTGAAGCAAGTTGAGAAGAAATTATCATAATGGTCCGTTCCCCAGTCTCCCCTAAGCACGCATAAGTTTGGAGTTGCGGGTTGAGGGCCCCACATCCGGAGGACAACAGCTCCAACCTAATTCAGAACCCGAAGCCGTTGTCCCCAATAACTAAACCATCAAGGCAAGGGAGACCCCTAAACCAACCTCTCTAAGCCCTCTGAGCCCTCCTTCTGCTTCGGTGAACCGAAATTTCCATCGTCGCGCCGGAAAGCAATCAGATCCTTGCTGTTCATGTCTAGCCAGCCTTACTTCACCCGGCTGGCTTACGGGCTTTCAGGGTGAGGGTGAGGGTCCAGGATTTGCGCTTCAGGGCTTTGAGGTCTGAGAGTTTAGGGTTGGGGCACGTCCTACACAGACCCCTTAGAGGATCCCGAAAATGGAGCCCTATTACTAGATTGGTGAAACTATGGTAGGAGATTACGGGAAGATTCCATCCTTTGGATCCTGTAGCGGGGTTCTGCGTATCGGATTGCTGTCATGGAACTTGAGCTAAAATACAATGACGTGGATATATGATACATATTCGCTCCTTACCTAGCCAGGATATAAACCTAGGCTTTCAAGGCTTTAGGGTTTATGGTGGGATGTTTAAGGATTGCATGGGATTTAGAATTCCGGGTGGACCGGGTGGGCCCCCTGCATACATTGGAATTCTATGCAGGGAGAGTTCAGGAGACTGTGGTTTTCAGGGTTTGTCCCCGTGTCATTGAGTGTTACAGGGCGGCACGCCTGGTGTTTGGTTTGCACCCTAAACGCTGCCTGTATTCTTAATACTCATTTCCTGGAGCTCCAGGGTTGCGAAGCTGAAGTAGGCCCCCAGAAGCTTTGCAAGGTCAAAATTTGGGGTAGAGCAGTGGATTCCTGTACTCACCCCTCTATTCGCCCCTCTATTATCCTTCGTATTGCACCTATATTCATTCCCTCCACGCTCCCCTGAAGCAACAGTCTGTAGTCTAGGGTTGTGGCATGACATGACTCAAGCATCTGCCCAGACCCCAAAGGGATGAACAATTAGATCTCTGAAAACGATATGAGGAACTATATAAAGAGTTGTTGTGTTTATACAAGGGATCTAATTTGGTATGTCCTCCCAGGATCTCCCAGCAGTCTGGGTGAGATTATCTAAGCCTGGCTCCTTGAACATGACAGCGGCAAATGCAGAGGCGGCTCGGCCGGAATAGGTACCGAGGTAGACAACCGACCGCTCAACACTGGCCGTATTACATGAATGTCAGAACCTGAAATCAAACTAAGCCGTTGGGATTATGTCCGATATAACCTACCATATTAGATGAGGTCGAATGAGGTCTAAGTAAGTAACCAACCAATATACGCGTAGGCATAGTGACGGGACATGCCTTCCCCAACTACGCACAGATAAAATGATTTAAGCCGAAATGGTTATCAAAGCCAATCAGTTGAATCCCTTACCCAGAACCTTTAGCCCAAAATGACACGAACAACACTCGCCACAAGGCTCCATAAAGACTACTTTTCCAACCAGCGGTAGTCTGTGCATAAGAAGCTCTTGCCGTTACCACATCCAGAATACTGCGACAAGCAGCTTGTGAGAGGTGCGTTGCAGAAAAGGCTTGCATCTGCCCAAACTCCTCCATACCTTACGCTCCCCGTGCTCCCCCTCTCCCAACATTTCTCCACCTATACTCATTTCATTTTCCGTCTGATTCTCCAATATGGGGGTTGCGGCGACCCAGATCTCATTATTGCATAAAGCCAACCTGCAACGCTCTCGTCCCGTGTAGGGCCAGGAAAGCTAAGTCCGGTATAGAGCCAGGTGGTGGCCCCACCAGCGAACAGTCCTTCATAAAAGAAGATCTGACTGAGATACGGGCAGCTTTGTATATTCAGAGTGTAATTCGTCTCCTGGCAATTAATTAGTGAAGGCAGGGAGGCCAAAAGCCAAGGTGCTTGTATAGCAGCAGGCTCCTATACACATCCGCTCGATGCTGTGCACCCAATTTGCTGAAGATGTCCTCTTCTCAGGCTCGAATTTCACGGCTGAAAGTGCAGGAGGTGCGTGCATTATCAAACGTAATCCACTTTGGGGGCTCTTCTCAAAAACTTTCGTGCTTGGACTCGTTTAGGTGGACCATGACTTTGGGAAATCCTCATGTGGGGTTTGCAGGCGGACCCATGGTCAGAGCAGTCTACGGGAGCCAGTTCCCAATGATCAGGAGGATGTATCTCAAAACCAGGACCTGATTATGAGGCTGTAAAATTCGCATTTTTGAGCACAACCCGTTTCCTTCAATGGATCGCCCCATTTTCTTTTCCATATGGTTCTCCATTACAATTATTGGATTTACCATGAATCCTCTAAGCATTCGTGGGACCTTAAAACAACCCTTTCTCTCAGGTGCGAAGGGGGAGTGGAGAGTGCAGGTCCCAGAACGAAATCCATGCACATGGCATGCTCCTCAGGTTCCATCTTTGTTTGGGGAGGTGTCGTCTCTGCTCAATTTTGGCTGACCCAACACCCTCACTCCTGAACCCGAACTGCTACACCGAATTTCGTAAACCCTCCTAAATCAATTCCCTCAGCAACCCCAAGCCACATGATGTTCGGCTTTTGCGGTTGCTTGGGTGCTGTTCGCCGGAAGAGTCGGAGAATGGAGTTTAGGATTCAGGTTCAAAGTTAAAAGGAGTACTGTAGCATAGGGGGGAACCCATTCCTGTTGATACGAAGTTTGCCAAGTAGAAGTACGAGTACTTTACTAAAGGAATCCGTTCGAAACCGTTTCCCAAAAAACGATCTCCTACTATGAACGCCTGCCAGAAACGTTGTTGAGCAAAACTCCATTAACTTTGAAGAAACTTCCAACTGTGGAGTTTGAGTTCACGCTTTTGGAGAAAATGGATCGGAGAATCCCACAAAGCGTGGGCTGTTGGGTTAGGGCTTCAGTACTTGCATTGCCCAGGCCGCAACATTTTTGCAGGAGGTAGGTTTCAGTGCTTGGTTTTTTTTTTCAAGATTTAAAGTTCAGATCATGGTTGGCTTTTTGGGATCCTGCTGGGATCCTCACAAACCAGCATGACCATAATATAGCGAAATAACATGATTAAGATACACGAAACCAGGAAAATGCTGTTTCTCGGCTGACGTGTGTATACTGTGCATCAGCGCCATGACGTGCCTCATGTTGGAAGTACTTCTTCAACTGCTGCTTAGACATCTCATGCAAGCTCAACCCTTTCAAGCAGCGCGGTGATGGTTGCTCCATAACTACCCTTTTCCTTGGCCCTGCAAACCCATCTCTGACTAGGCCGGAATTTGAGTCCTGAAGAGTGGCACTGTCGACTAAAGAAACCAAACACACCACATGAGGCGAGCATGAGGCAACGATCAACATACCATAATACCGAAGGTATTGGTACCTAGGGTCGTGCAGGACTTTTGGTGTAAATACACTTTGAACCCTAAACCGAAACCCTACATACCCGTATTACCCCTACAACTCAATTTGAAAGACCGCATCAAGTTCATAAAGTGTCAGATAACACAAAGTTGGTGCTTACCGGAAGGCCTTGGCATAAGTCTGAAGGATGTGCTTGAGGGGTTCAGCGTTCAGGGGGTTGTTCCAATGAACACTGCAAAGCAGGGACCATCGGGAGTACAGTTCCTTGAAAGGAGATCTTAAAACGAAAAGGAGTCTACTTTGTGATAGACTGCTATTTGGAACAAATACCATTCTAAGCAAACATGACAACTACCTTAGCTCCTTGGGTTCAGGCCTATGATGGGTATGGATGGAGAAGTAAACTGCTCCTTCCCACTCAGACCGCAAGTAAACCACCAATTTTTTGAATCAAGCCTTGTTACTTGCTTCTTGGCTTTGTTCGTTTGCAAGTTCTATGGGATGGGATAGTATGCCATCCACAAATACCATACGAGACCCTTCTTTAAAGCCTAAGCCCTGAACCCGCTTCAACTCTAGTGCTTGAGGACTTTATTGTACATAAAATGAAGCCTCTGCTGCTAGGCTTCACGGATTACGCCCATCAGCCATGCATATCTACCAACTTGCTGGGCGGACTTAGTAAGTACGCATGCTCATAGGCCCAACAACCAAAATGATGACCTTATCTATTCCCACTACTAACCTAGTTCTGGAGTCCTGATGACCCTCCGAATATCCACGCCTGCGGAATGTAGGCACTTCGATTCGTCAGCTCGTCTGCAGACGTGCGGTTTAGCTGTACGAGCTTGAACCTGGACACAACTTTGCAGGTTGTGGGCCAAAAGATTACGTAGGGACATATCGAACATGGGCTCTTTTTTCTAATTGGGGGATTTGTACCTAGATTGACGATGACGCCCAAAAAACTGAGCTTCAGTCAGGACCCCATAATGGGCCCATGTGAACGAGCGCCTAACGCGACAATCAGCCATCTGCTGTTCTAAACCAGATTTAGTGGCGATTGGCGACACATATCCTGAAAAGTACGCCAGGATTCACACATGACACCGGAGTCAAATACTACAAGGAGCTAATTAACTCCAGCATCATTGATCTAGACTCTTGTATCTGACTATGGTATAGAATGCCTGAAGTAGACCTCAGAATAATATTGGTAGTTATTTAGGCTTCTATTGCGTGAGGTTGGTTATCCGTCTTCTACCCTCACAGTAGTTTTGGTCTGCTCGGTATTGACGATGCTCACTCGTGCATACACCACTGGAAATCAAGTGCTATGGCTGGCAGACACTTGCGTTCCCACTTGGTGGGACAAGTACCCTATCATAGGCTCGAGCCGTCACTTTGGCCAAAAGACGCGGGGATCCGAGGCCACGACATTGTACTGCTGAGAACCACGTGCCTTTCCGCCCCAGCACATGCCGTAGGCAATGGGTGCTTCAGCGAGTGCAGCACGCAACACAGGCGATAAAAAGAACAGAGTGATCACCTGACACGTGCAACTCACGTCAATGAGGTCAACAAGTGCTGTGATTGCAGTTCTGCCCACATATACAGTAATGTTTGTTTTTCGCCCACCCAAAACAAATCCTGAGAACAGCCCGCATGTCATGATTCCGACAAAAGCACAGAAACTCCACACCTCACACTTCCCTTCCCCTTAATCTTAATTCTCAAGCCCAAGTTGTTACATGCCAAATGTGGGAGCCTAAATCGTGTCAATCAGGCCTTACCCTGAACCCCAAACCCGAACCCTCAAGCTTTGAACCCTGATCCATGCATGGACCCTAAACCCCAATTTCTAGCCCGTAATCTCTAAATCCTGGCCAATAACCCATCGTCCCGAACCCTAATGCCTATCCATGCCTATTCCCAATCCCTGAATGCACGTCCCTACATTCGAAGACAACAATGTCTAAAGCTCGTACCTTTATCCCTTAACCTTGATCCTTTAACCCAAGCCCCTGAACCCTAATCATGAAACCGTCTTGCCAAAAATTCTATCCTAAACTTTTGAAGCCTTCACCCCTACCAGAATTGAATCCATATGGCTGTCACTTGCATAGATCAGTAATGGGGCCCGTATGTCTCAACTGGGGCGAGAAGGTATCACAATGCTCTACACCGCAAACTGTAAAGCATGAAACCTCAAGCCTAAACCCGAAACCAAAAGCCCTAATCCTCTAAGACTCAAACGCATAAAAATCACTCCTGCATTGAAAAACCCGTTCCCTCAATTCAAGTCCAAGAACTCTGGATTGAAGAACTCCCAACTCGATCGGACCAGATTCAGCGACACATTCCTTTGGATGTCTAGAAACGTATGCTGCATTATTTCGGGTGCAGGATCTATTTGGGGTTTAGAATTTCAAGTTTGGGATTCAAGGCTTAGGATTTACGACGTAGGATTTCGGACTTAGGGTTTAGGATTCAAAGTTTAGGACGCGTTTTTGTGCACGGTTCAGGGTACTTGCCATGGAGAACAATCTTGATGCAGGAATCATATGGGGAGTTGTCAAAATTTGTGGTCTGCTTACTGTAGTCCCATTCTCGTACAAACCCGAATGTAGAGGGTACTCGTGCGGCATCATAACTTGGAAGCCTCCCATGTAGGCATTTTTCCCTCATGTTTCCCTGCAAAATATGCCTTTTTCTTTAGGGGAATCAGGACCACCATTTAAGGAACCTAGACCGAGAGCGGCTTGTGGGAACTGCGGCATGGCAGGTGGTTCACGTTGTCCTCATCAACAGTAGGAGCCTCAGTGATTAGAACAGATACTTCGTAAGAATATATGGGATCATGTCTAAATGGCTATTTTCGAAGATGGCCGTAAAAGCTGTGTTCCATTGGGGCCCCGCCTTCTCAGCAAGGCTACAATCAAAAGCGCTTACGGTTTGTTTGCGAGAAACTACAACTCTGGACTGTGAACCTTTCACACCCTCCATTCGCTTACAAGCGTCCTGTGTGTCGGTGGGCAAATTGCAAAACTACGAGAAAATCACTTGCGCAAAGCTAGCCCGCCACAGCGCCAAAACAACTCTGCAATACTTCAGACGTATCCCTGAGAAGCCTTTCGGTTCTTGTTGATCTGCAAGCAGATGCGCCTTCGAAGCTCTCAACGGCTGCACAGCAAGGCAGCTTCTGTTTCAAGCTTATTGAAACTTTAATGCAAATTCAGAAGCAGATACACTCATAAGCTTTAGATGCTTGCATGTTGTTATGTTTCCTAACAATATGACGGGGATAACATTCCTCATTGCTCAGGCTTCTGCATTCCTTTAATCTACGGTACTCACGGATAAAGGTTTTACATGCTCAGGGTTAAGGCTTGTGATCCGACTAGGGTTGAGGACTAGGTTTCACGGCCTGAGGCTTCTTACAGAAAAAATCTACAACTACAATTGGCCGCGCAAAAAAATCTTTTGTGCTTTCGAGCTTAGGAATTTAGCGCCTTTGAGCATATGGTATCCAGGTTTCAGGATTGTTTGTTGGTCAACCGTTAGGGCCAGGGCGTAACCCTACACCGTCTAGGTTTAGGGATTGCAGTGTGATGCTGTAATCCTCTTGAGCAGGGTGCTTTGGGGCACATCTACCCCTCCATAGTGCCCAAGTACATTTCGAGAGTGTCGGCGTTGGGGGGGATTAATGGGTCTGCCCGACTTGCCCCACTTGACCCACCTGCCCCACTTGCCCCACGTGCCCCACGTGCCACTTGACGGCGAGTGGGGCGAGTGGAGCGCGAGTGGAGCGAGTGGGGCGAGTGGGGGCCGCGTTAATTTTCCCCCCCTGCGGTCGCAATGT